AAACAGTCTCTCACTACCTCTGCTTACCGTCTTGTCACTGAACCTCCCAGTTGTTTATTGGCATTAAGAGATTCGTCTTTCAGTTATGGTCCATTACTATATTAATGCTGAAATCCATACTTTTCTGCATTTGCGATTCATGGGCGTCTTGCTGAACTTACTGGATAAGTGAAAGTTAACTGGCGACATAGTTATGTCAGACTTAAAACTGTACAACTGGTTTCCATACAGTCAAAGATTCATAAAAAAGTCAATGGTATGCCATCGACCAACGCAATCATCAACCTTGAACAGAGGCATTTGGAGCGTGAAGCCAACCGCACCTTAGAGGGCAGCCGACGCCAGCAAAGACAAACACAGACAAACCCATCGCGCCGGCATGGGTATTCCTCCGCTTTTAGAATTAATCAACCACACTGGCGAATATTACAATAAAAATAATAAATAATAATAAATTGCTTTATTTAATACCCCAACGGGTCCGTCAAAATAGGTAAAAATGAATTTTCGAGTGGATTTTCGGACAAGCAGACATACACTGCATAGTGATCACATCGTGCTCATAAAATAGACAGTCTGATATGAAAAACTGTAAGCGGACAGTGAAAAAACTCCCTTGCTCTTTTTGAAAAAGGCGGGATGAATGTGATTTAATTAGTTTTTAGAGAGAAGATAAGGTAAGAGATGGTAGATATGCGGGTCGAGCAGGAGAGTCCCGTAGGCAGGAGTGACAAAAGATTCAAAATGTTTTTTTCAAGGTTATTATTCCTTAACGTGGTGCAGCCCTTTGCTTCAGATGCGATTATAACACTTTCGGGTTGACAGCAGACCCAACCGCCAAGGCGGATCCAGTGGGATGGGTCTTATTCCGCTTACAGTCCAGGTGAGAAGGGGATATTCAAATCTGCGGGAGTCATCAAAGCGTGGGGAGATGCGACTACGACACTGCTTTGCTGACCGACCAAGCTACCAGCAGTGGGTAAAAACAGAGTCCGCTCTGATCATCAACAGATCGCTGGGGTCGAATAGGCGAGATGACTTTGAAACCCGCGAACGGATATAGAACAGCAGGATAAGTACTTCAGGGAGGTATGATGACAGCTCGGGAGTGTTAAGTGGTAGCAGACACAGGGCTGGTCTTAAATTGGGGTAGAGAGCTCGAAACCTCAGAGAACAACATGGATTCCTGATGAGGCTCGACGATTGGAGAAACGGAGGCAGCCTAGAGCGTGCACGCCAAAATGCACTCACTACTTTTTCGAGAGGATTTGTCAGGAGGAAATCGCGTTCTGTGAAGGAAATGACGCATGGACTGAAAGATTAAAACATCGAAATTTCTGGCGAACGATCATATAAAGCGAAACCATATGGCAATTTGGCGGCGGCGTCTCAAA